CCGCCAGATGGTGGCTCTGCCTGCGGGACAGGCGCAACACGACGCGTGGGGGCAGCTGATGAAGAACTTGCGCATGGTGAAATACGCCGCGTCGGCGGGTCAGCCGTCTGCGGGGGTGTCGGCACCGCAGGGTGCTTGGTCGCGTCTGCGATGTGTGTGGGCAAGAATTCGTCGTGGCGCGCAGAGTCCTGCCGCAGCCGGCCCACGCAGAGCTTAATTTCTTCCAAATTGTCGTTGGTACGCTTGGCGTGCTGGTCGCGCTGCTTTTCAACGTGAGGGGTACGGGTACGGATCAGAGCACCCAAGTCGCGGATCTCCCTCTGCTGCCCGTCCAGACGGGCCACAACATCTTAAGCCCGTGCCATTTTCAGCATCTCGATCGCGAGAGACTGCAGAGAGTTTTCCACGCACGCGGTCCACTGCCATCCTCAAGGCCTGCACCTCTGCAGCCCTGGGGCCGCAATCGTCAAACGAAGTGGCACCAAGACGGCTGGTCTGGGCCCTTGCAACATCGCACAGGTTCGGGCGACAACTTTGGGAATATCGTCCTGATGGGAGTTAAGGAGGCGTTGATTGACAGCGTCTTCAGCAACACACAACTTACTGTAGAGGTCATATTGGATGCTCGTTGTCTCGGCTAGCAGGGCGGCCGCGCGGGGCTCGAGGCGATCGCGTAGCTCGCGCACCTGTCCGCGCAGGAAAGCAGGAGGCGCTCCCAGAGGAGCACCAACAGGGACCGTGGCGACGGAGCGGATCTCGCTGTGCAAGAGTTGGACCCTGGAGTCAAACTGACCCGTGGCCCCGGCGACCTGCATCCCGAGGGCCGCACGGTCGGACTGCGGGGTCTCGAACTTGAGGCGGTCCTAACCTCGGCATGATTCCACAGCATCGACTTGATAGTGGACCTCTCCAAGGATCCGTCGACCCTCGACGATCCGACTATCGATCAAGATGAGGCCCTGACGCAGATCTTGGCACAATATGGTTGTCTGTGACGCCGTCACAGCGACTGTTTGCGCAAGGCCCGAGAACTGTCGAGCGGCGAATACTTCAACCTGGTCTCTGAGCTCTGCCATATCGTGGGCAGAGGGCAGGTGCGGGCTGAGCAACACTTGTAATGTTGCGCCTTTGGTGAAGCCGGCCGCGAGCGCATCTGTGAGCGGTTGCGACTCGTGTCAGCACGCTGAGAGGAGATGAGATACTTTTCTGGAGACGCTCTACTGCGATGGGTAGTAGATGAACGCACGGTGGTCGCTGGCGTTTGGTCAGTGCGCCCTTCTCGCGATTCAATGTTACGTACGAGTTCAGCGACGGGAACAGACGCAGGTCTCTGGGAAGCCAAGCGGTGGGTACGCGTGTGAGCGCCTGGAATAGATTCACGGGCGGGTGTTGCCACCGGCGAGAACGCGCGGGCGTTGCCACCGACCGCAGCAGCAGCAGAAACAGGAGGAGCAGAGGAAGAAGCAGGAGGGGAAGCGAGGTCCAGAGGAGGATGGGAGCGCTCCCCAAAACATCAGCGCGTCAACAAAAGCGGGCCCCGACTGTCCCCCTGGGGCCGTGCGGGGTCGAGAGCTCGTCCGCGCCGTGCGCCAAAGTTCTGCCTGCAACCGTGCTCCTGGATCGCGCTCCGCGATGGGGGTCTCGGATATGGGTATCGTACTGCCTCCGACTGCCCCCATCCGAGGCGCCGTCGAGCCGCTGCACCGTCTTGAAAGCCTGCTCTCTGGACTCCGCCAGCCACACCCAAGGGAGCGGCCATCGGAGCAGGAGGGAAGGGTCGACGACACACAGTTCGACGACAGAAGCGCGAAGTCGAAAAGGCTGACAAACCTGTGAACGGAAGGGAAAAACGGAAGTGCCTAACCGACCGAAGGGGATCCGTAGGTAGAGGATGAGGTGACTGTGATAGAGGGCTTTCTCCTGCTCACAGTCTAGACAGAAGTGTCTGTCCACGGATGTCCAATACCTCAATACCGAAAGTGAAACGGCAAGGACGAGTAAAAAATGAAATAGAGGAAATTCACAAACATCGTCATCATCATCATCATCACCACCACCACCACCATCATCATCATCATCATCATCATCATCATCATCGACGTCATCATCATCATCATCATTATCATCATCATCATCACCACCACAACCACCATCATCATCATCAGCAGCAGCAGCATCAGCAGCAGCAGCATCATAGCAAACGGCAGCATCATCATCATCATCACCATCACCGCCACCACCACCACCACCACCACTATCATGATCATCATGATCCTCATCACAACCACAACCATCATCAACAGCAGCATCGCCACCACAACCACCATCACCACCACTAGCATCAGCATCAGCATCATCATCAGAATCATCATCAGCAGCATCAGCATCACCACCATCATCATCAGCAGCAGCAGCATCATAGCAAGCATCATCGTCATTATCATCATCAGCATCATCAGCATCATCATCAGCAGCAGCCTCATAATCATAATCTAAAGCATCAGCACCATCATGATCATCACCGCCATCATCAGCACACTAATCGTCATAAGCATGGTCAGCATCGTCAAATACCTCATCATCAACAACATCAGCATCACCATCATCGTCATCATCATCAGCATCGACATCTGCATCAGAATGAGCATCATCATCATCACCACCACCACCACTATCTGCGTCAAAATAATCACCACCATCATGATCATCATCATAACCACCATCATCATGATCATCACCACAACCATCATCAGCACAGCAACCATCATCATCATCATCATCATCATCATCATCATCATCATCATCATCATCATTATCATCATCATCAGCATCATCAGCATCATCACCGCCAGTATCATCATCATCGTCATCATCAGCATCATCATCGTCATCATCATCACAGCCATCATCATCATCAGCATCATCATCATCAGAAGCAGCATCAGCATCAGCATCAGCATCAGCATCAGCATCAGCATCAGCATCAGCATCAGCATCATCAGCATCAGCATCAGCATCAGCATCAGCATCAGCATCATCATCATCATCATCATCATCATCATCATCATCATCATCATCATCATTATCATCATCATCGTCATCAACCGCCTCCTTCTCCCCCTCCTCCTCCTCCTCCTCCTCTGTTTCTCTCCCTCCTGGCCATCTGCTCGTCCTGGCTCGGTCTCCTGACGACCCTGGGGCCCAGAATGGCGAGAAACCGGCCGCGCTCTGGCCCGAATCTCAGAGCGCGCCCAAAACGGCCACAGACCTCAACGTCTCCATCCTCGATCATCGACCCTGTCGTCCTCGGCGTCGGCGCCGCAAGGGGACGCCGCCGCGGCGACACCCGCCGCGCCGGGAGCGGGGCGCTGAGGCCTCGCGGGCCTGCCGCTTGGCGAGGCGCCCCGCGAGCCGTGGGCGAGGCCGGCCGCGCTGATGCTCAGGCTGGGGAGCTCCATGAGCACCCCAGTCTCCACGAGCCTCTCCAGCACCCACGACTTCCTGGCCTCCATGCGGTCCTCGGCGCCGTCGGAGCTGGCACCAGAGTCGGCCTCGGCGTCGTCGGAGCCAGCGCCAAAGCCGGCGCCGTCAGAGCTGGCGGCGGAGCTGGCCCGCGGCGGCGGCGTGCGCGCCGCTGGCCGGAGCGCCCCGCTCGACACGAGCCCCTCCAGCAGCCAGGACCTCCTGGCCTCCTCCACACGGCCCTCGGCGCCGCCAGAGCTGGCCGCGGCGCTGGAGCTGCAGCTGGAGCCAGTGCCGTCCGAGCTGGCCCGCGGCGGCGGCAGCAGGGCGGAGGGCTCACGGGCCCGCTGCCGCACGGCGCGCGCCGCCCCCAACGGCTCCGCGGCAAGCGCGGCCCCCGGCGGTTCCGCGGCGCCCGCGGCGTCCAGCGCCGCCGCGACGGGCTGCCAACCGCCGGCGCCACGCTGCAGGCGCCCGGCCGCGCTCGGCGGCCCGTCGGCGGCGCTCGCCGCGGCGGCGCCGAGGAGGCCGGCTGGCCGCCGCGGGCGCCGCGGTGTGGCGCGTCGGCCCCCAGCCCGAGGTCGTGGAGCAGCGACATACCACGCGGCACCGCGACGCCCACCTGGCTGCGGCCCGTGCCCGCCGCGGCGTGCTCGCTCGCGGCGCAGCCGCGCGGCGCGGGCACGCGCGCCGCGGGCACGCGCGCCGCGGCGCGCAGCGCCGCCGCGGCCACCAGCGCGCGCAGCGAGCGCTCATCCGCGCCTGCCAGCACCGACGGCGGCCGCGGCAGGCGGCCCCAGACCGCCGACGATCTGAATTTTTCAATCGCTGCGTTTTTCCTCGGCCGCCCAGGTGCCGTTTTCGTGCCCTGGGCCACAGGCCAACAAAAACTGCCCACGGAAGGGCTCGGCAGGTCTGGGGCCGCGGATTGAACATCACATCAGAAGATGTCTGGGGCAACGCTGGCGGCGGCGACAAGGGCGGCAAGGTCGGCAAAGGCGGCAAGGGCGACGAGGACTGGCCACTGGATCGTCGTCGTCGTCGCAGTGAGGGCCCGCATTCCGCTTTTTCCAAAAGTGCAAGCACAACGGGGTTCGTTCCTACTTAGCGAACTGGGTGGGTGTTCCAAGTTTTCGCCCAGTGTCCGCCCGTGGCCTCCTCATGGCCGCGCCATGCGCTGAGTGACGTTTCTGGGCTTTCGCCCATTCATCGCGCGTGGCCACCTCGTGGTCGCGTCGTGCGCTGGCTCACCTCATTGGACAAATAGCTTGCACCACGTGTATTCCTCTTCATAGCCAATATGAAAAACCTACCCCACCCCCCACCGAAACCACTGTGAAGGCCCCACTCCGCATAATGATTATTATCCTATCTATGGGGCCCGATCGCCCATCTTCAACATCAAATGATACAACCTCATTACGGCCCGAAAGCTTTCCATGGCCTAAGATTCACGAAAGCACTGGGATTGAAAAAGTAGCGCCTTCGAAGGTCTGGGATGCCGTCGTCGGCGCCGTCGTCGACGACGCCACGGAGGCCTTCGCGCTCGGGCAGCCTGGGCGCCAGCGGCGCGCCGCCGCCATCGGCGCAGGCCTCCGGCTCTGGTTCGTCCTGAGCGGCGAGCCTGGCGCGGAGGCGCGCGCCGTCGCTGTCGCTGCCGCCGCCACCGTCGTCGCCGCCGCCGTCGCAGTCGTGGCCGCGGCCACCGTCGTGGTCGGCGTCGCCGTCGCCGCTGCCACCGCCGAGATTCGGGGATCGAGGGTCGAGGTTTCGGGGATCGGCCAGAGGCGACACCCGCAGGCCGCGGGCCCAACGCTCGCTCGCTCGTGTCCTCGACGGCCCTCGCTCGATCGTCGTCGGTCGAGCATTCGAGCGGTCTGAGCGGTCGAGGATTCGAGCGGTCGAGGTCTTCGAGGCGTCTCTGCGCGAATCAGGGGCTCGGGGGCCCGCCGGTGCGGCTCGCAATTCTGTCGAGACTGCACTCCCTGGAGAGGTGGGGTTGCCGTAGGCCCTCGATCCTCGATCCTCGAGTGTCGGCGACGATGTCTACATTCGAGGATCGAGAGAGTCGAGGATCGCCGATGTAGCCACCGCCGTGGCGCCGTGGCAGTTATGTCTGCTCTGGCCGCGCGCCTGGGGGCGGCGTTGCCACCCGTTCCGGAGCTCTAAATATCAGCAGCCTTCTGAGCCGTCTCGGGAGCCCAGGGGGGCTGGACCAAGAGGACAAATATGGTGCCAGACCACCCACGAAATACGTAATTATTTCAATCTCGGCGTTTATCTTTAGTTTCGGCCTCGGGGGGCCCCAGAATATCACAAGTGGACCCAGGACCCAAACTACCCCCCAGTGAAGGGGTAGGGAGCTCTTGGGAAGCCGATTGGAAAAATCCAATCGTCGGATGTCTAGGGCGGGAGCGCCGAGGCCTTTAGGACTTTTTCCAGCCTCTCTCGGCCTCCGTGGAGGAGGGGTGCCTCGTCGCCACGGCCGAGTTTCCCTCCACATCCTCTTCGTCAGAGCGCACCCCAAGGCAGGTCGGGGGGTCGATTGTGGACGACACCGACGGCGGGCGGCGACGACGCCGCCGCGGTCGCCGTCCCACGGCGACGCCCGCAACACCGATGGCGCGGCGAGGACGTCGCAGGCCGCCGCCGCCCAGGTCGTCCGAGCGCGAGGGCCGTCCGCGGCGGCTGCGGCCTTGATCGCGACCTCGTCCCACGACCCTCCTGGAAACCAAATGCAAGCTTTTGACGTTGATCGACGGGCGAAACGCGGCCCCCGTGGTCAGATTGTTGTGCTTGCAGTCGCCAACTTCGGCGCGATCACTGGAACTCGGGGTTCCTGGGGCGCCGCCACGTCGCGGGAAAACTTGCGTTTGACTTCGAGGACGGATGTAGGAACGATGAGGCCTCGTCGTCTTCGACGTCGATGTCGACGTTCGACGCAGGCCCTTGGCAGCCCTCGTAGATATCATGTATACCTATATATATCCTAAACCCATAAAAAAAATCAAAGAATTGTATGTTTATGCGGTCGTCTGCTCCTCGAGCGATGACCGCGGACCTTTACATGAGAGACAGTCAGGATTTCGAGGCGGATCCAGCCTCGGCCGCAGGGGCTGCCCCCGAGCTCCCCAAGAAAGGCGCAGAGACGCCCAAAAAGACTTGAACCTCAGCCCTCAAAACCTCGACCCTCGATCTTCGATCCGGGGCGACGGCGACGCCGCCCACCTCCGCGGAAGGCTCGCCACATCGGACCCTCTGATGGATGACAAGCGAGCTGAGGGCCACCGGGCGCCGCCGAGCGCAGCCAGGCGCCGCCTTGGGCCTCCGACGACGAAGCGAGCGGGCGAGGCGGCAGAGGGGCCAGCGGCCTCCAGGCGCGGTCGAGTGCTGCGCCATCGCCGGCAGCCTGCCCTCCCCGCCGCGCGTGCCCCTGGGCGGAGGGACAGCCCGCTGCCTGGTCGCCGCCGTCGCCAACGCCGTCGCCGTGGTCGTCGACGCCGTCGCCGCCGGCGGCCTCCTCTTCGTCAGCGGCATCATTGGCGGCGCTGCCGTCATGTCAAGTCCTCCAGAGACCCACAGAGACCTAAGGAGATCTCTTCCTGCTCCTGCTCCTGCTCCTCCTACTCGTAGTCATCCTCATCACTGGTACCACCACCATAATCATCACAATCATCATCACCATCAGCAGAAACATCTGTGGTCGCCACGGTCATTCTCAACAGCATCCACATCATAATCCTCATAGTCTTCATCGTACTCATCATCGTACCCGTCATCTTCGTCACCAGCCATCATCATCATCATCAACATCATCATCATCGCCATCATCATCATCATCATCATCACCACCACCACCACCATCATCATCATCAGAATCAGAATCATCATCATCACCATCGACAACGAAATAATCATCGCCCGTAGCAGCAACATCGCCAGCATCAGGATATCATCATCAGCAGCAGCAGCAGCAGCATCACCATCATCCGAATGAGACAACGGCGGCTCTCCCTCCCATCCCAAATCCGCTCAACATCGGTCCCCAAACCCCTCCTGGGGTCAATTCTAACCGGTTTGGACCGCCGTTGTCTCGACTGGCCCTCCTCCGCGATCATGAGGTCAACGACGCCGACACCGAGGCCCCCGCCGACGCCAACTCCATCGTCAGCGCTAACGGCGACGACCCCAAAACTCCGACGACTCGATGTGTTCGAGTCTCGGGGCCCGGGCCTCTCGACCCTTTCCCTGCGACCGGATTTTCGTCCTGCGCGGGCTTTTGAATCAGCCCGAGGCCGAAGATGCAGAAAAACAACAGGCTCGAGATATAAATATATATACATATATATATATATATATATATATATACATATATATAATACATATATATATATATATATATATTGTTTCGGGTCTCTGGAGGCCTGGGACCACGACAACAGCGACGGTCCCATCCCCCCCGAGGGCCTTGGCAGGCGCCGCGTGGTCCCCCACCACCGCCCGCAGCGCGCTGCGGGCGGCGGCTTGGCGCGCCAGGGCCTCCTTGGCGCGCGGTCGCAGGCCGGCGCGCCAAGCGCGGGAGCAGGATCGTCGCCATCGTATCGCGGAGGTGGGGGAGAAGAGAGGGCTCGCGAGGAAGCGCGCGCAGAGGAGGAGGGGGAGGAGGAGGGTGAGGAGGAGGATGACGAGGAGGAGGAGGAGGAGGAGGCAGGAGGAGGAGGCAGGAGTGAAGAAAGAGGAGGAGGCGGAGGAGGAGGATTTTTGGAGCCTGTGGAGACCAGGTCACGGCACTGTCGGGATGCAGCTTGGGGCGTCTGCACCTCACCACGCCACGGCCTCGCCGTGCAGGCCAGCGTGCGAGACAGCCTCTCAAGAGGCTGGGGGGGCGGGCGCGACCCCTCCCCTTCACGCACCCGAAGCTCTGACCAGGCCCACGAAAAAACAATCACGGCAGGACTCTGAGCTCGTCGTCCCTCTGAATCCCGTGCGGGACCTCTGAGCTCGTCGAGGAGAAAGAGGAGGAGTGAGGAGGAGGAGGAGGAGGAGGAGGAGGAGGAGGCGCAGGAGGGAGGGAGGAGGGAGGAGGAGAATCGAGTATTAAGGATCGAGGCTCGAGGCTTCCCTCCCTCCGTCCCTTCCTCCATACCTCTACAACTCCCTGCCCCCCTCTCCCTCCCTCCCTCCCTCGCTGCCTCCCTGCCCTCCCTCCCCTGCCTCCCCGTCGCCTGCCTGCCTACCTGCCTCCCTTCCTCCCTGCATCCATCCTTCCCTGCCTCCCTCCCTGCCTCTTTCCCTGTCTCCTTTCCTGGCTCCCCGGCGCGTGACGAGCCCCTTCCGTGACGACCCAGTCACTGTCGAGGCTCCCCGCTGGCCGCCTGCCCGCAACTTGGAAAGAGACGAGGGGGTCGTCACAGAACGGACGGGTCGCTCTGCTAAATGTCGTCTACAGCGCGAACCTGGCCGGAAGAAATCCAAGCCTGAAAACCCGCGCGGGAGGTAAACACAAGGCACACTGGGCTGCAGCTTCAACCCCCGCGGGAAGTCACCTCGCAGCGCGCGCAAAGAAGAAACCCAAGGTTCTGTCTTGATGCGCGTCCCCACTCCAGGCCGCCCCTGGGTGCCTCTCTCCACCTGGAACCTGCACCCCGCGCGCGCGCGTGGGGAGGGAAAGAGAGCTGGCGCAGAAGCGCGCACGGAGGAGGAGGAGGAGGAGGAGGAGGAGGAGGAGGCAGGAGTGAAGAGAGAGGAGATCTCCCTCCCTCCGTCCCTCCCTCCATCCCTCCACCCCTCCCTCCCTCCCTCCCCTTCCTCCCTCCATGCCCTCCTTCCCTGCCTCCCCGCCGTCCCTCCCTCCTCCCTTCCCTTGGGTCCTTCGCCGCAAGCGCGCAGCTGGGCGCCCCATCCGGCGCGGGCAGGCTGGGCGGCGGGGCCGCGGCGGGGGGCCGGGGAGCGCGCATGGCTGCCATAATGGGTCGCGGCCTCTGGGCCCCCGGGACCTCCCGACACCTCCAGAGACCCGAAAGTGTCGGGTCTGAGATTTTCCTGCTCCTGCGGCATCCAGATGCCAGTCTCGGACCCAGAGACGCCCCCCAGAAACAGCCCAGGACGACGAGCCGCTCTCTGGGAGAGGGTCGAAGGTCTGGGGCCCCGAGGCTCAAAAAGTATCGAACCGTTTAGGGGTCTGGAAGCGAGGGCTGGCGCAGGGGAGGAAGACTGGCATGGAACCGGCGAAACATCGCCGATCGGCAAGCGATAGGGCCTCGATTGCAGAATCGCACGTTTAGCGGGCAGGCTGCGGCGCCCAGGCCCCGATCGGCGAGCAATAGGCGATCGGGTGTCGAGGCTTCCCCCCTTGGGCCATTCCCCCCCTGTCGTTGCCCCTGATGGAAGCCTTCAGAGACCTCCTGACGTCGTTGTCGCCATCCTCGTCCTCCTCGATGGCCATTCCTCCTAGAGCACGTCAGCAACGCCACTGTATTGCACTGTTCTGGTGTGCAGTTACGTGTGCACTTGGTGCCTGCAACTGGCTCTGCTGAGCAAGATCGCCCACATGCTGACGACCACCCCGTACGTAAATGCGTGTTCTGCCGTGGTTCCAATAATCTTGCGCTACAAGCAGTCCAACAGAAGGGCAGATCGCGCAACGCTTGGAAGATAAAGAAAGACGAGCTCGCGTGCAATGCTGACGGCGGCAGAGAACATGCATGCATCGTGGAGTCGCGATCTGGCGCACACTGGCCAAACACTTCAGTTCTACCACAAGACGCTTTGCGTTCATCCTTTTTCCCTCTGACTGTTCCCCTTCTTCACTTCTGGCTTCTCGCTGCGTCTCCTCCTCTCGCTGCGACATCCCCACACATCGACGCCGTTGTCGTTGCGCTCGTCGTCGTTTTCCAACGCTGCATGAAAGATCGCAACGGTCACCTGCGCCATTCACAGCATAGCGTCAGGATTGCAACCTAGCCCCCGCTATCCTCCACATTAATTTCCTCCTCTCTTGACGTCGCGGCTGTCACTATCGTTTCTGCTTGACGCTTCGCTGTTTCACGGCGATGCAGCTGGCAGCGTGTTGAGAACGATAATGTCACCATGTTGCCAGAGCACCTCTGACGTGCACGGCCCTCTCGCTCGCTCTCTCGCTCGCTCTCTCTCGCTCTTTCTCTTTCTCTCTCTCTCTCTCTCTCTTTCTGAGGGGGGCATGTCCAGGGACGCCTGCGCACTTCCTGGATTCAGCCCTGGGCATCAGTGGTGCCGACCCTGCGGAACCACGAGGGCCAAGGGGAAGTTTCAGAAGCCACCTTACCGCAGACCCGAACCCAAACAGAAGAGGCCTGAGGTGCCAGGGTTTTGGAAGCTCTTGCTGAGGGTTAGTACTCCCCGAGGCCTCGAGGCCTGGCCCGATAGTTGTGATCCCCATATTCTGCATGCCCGTTATGTTCGATCTCGGGAGTCCGAAGTGCCAATCCGAAAGGGGAGGAGAAGCAGCGGCACCAGAAGAGGAAAGAAGGAGGAAGGAAGAGGGGACAGGAGCTGACCAAGAGGAACAGGACGAGGGGAAGGGCGAGGGGGAGAGGGACGAGGGAATTGGGGGAGGAGGGGGGGAGGAGCGGGAAGGAGGAGAACGACGACGACGACGAGGACGAGGAGGATGAGGAGGATGAGGAGCGGGGTGAACGACGAGGGGGGCGGCCTGAGAAGGAGAATGAGAGCGGAGGTGAAGGAAGGAGCGCCAGCAGGAGGAGGAGGAGTGCGCAGATGAGCAGGGGCAGGAGCGGCGGAGGGGGTTGGCGGCAGGGAGGGAGGAGGAAGGAGCGGCGGAAAGGCACGGAGGACGGAGGAGGAGGGAGAAGGGAGAGAGGGAGGAAGGGAGGCTGAGAGGAGTGAGAAGGGAGGACGGAGGAGGAATGAGAAGGGAGGGGGGGAGGGGAGGGAGGAAGATCCTACCGGTTCGGACGGCAGGTCCAGGCCCCCATGGCAGACCGGCACGGAAGGTTTTCCTCGCATAGCGGGAAGCGCCGAGTGAGAAACAGGGGTGGCGTGAGAAAACGGCAAAGAGGACCCCGACTGGAAAAAGGGCAGACGGCGGTGATCGGGACCACTCAAGGGCCCATCTGCACCATCGTGCAAAGAGAGGCACCGGTTTTTAGCGCGATTCGGCATGTGCACACCGGCGCCCACGGAGGTGCGGCACCGCTTCGAAGCACCCCCTGCAGCGGTCCAAGAAGAGTGAGATCCACGGAAAAGTTGCCCACAGTTCACGCAGCGCCTCAGGTGGAGGAAGCTCTGGTGTGCTACCAGATGTCAAATGGACGCGCCTGGTCGCTCGCCTGGAAAACGCCCCTGGGCGAGCAATGGCGAGCGGGCCCGATGAAGGGCGATCCTAGCGGACCGCCCTCATCCGCCCTCCATGCCCTTCAGGGTGGAACTGGTGCCCCCCGCATTCCTGGTCGGAGCGCGCATCACACCCACAGTGGGCCAATGCAGCTCACGGACGCATATCATGGAAGTACTTACTGGGCCACGGACCTAAAAAGACTCGCGGCAGAACTCGAAGCGGCAAACGTCGCGATCACGGTCTCCAGAGTCGACCCGCTGTTGCTGTCAGTCAAGCTACTCACCCATGCGCGGCTGGTGCCCGCCGCAGTGGTTAGCGACATGGTACTCGACGCAGTGTACGCTGACTCCCGGGCACAAGGGTCGAGCTGATGCTCCCCGACGCGATGCATTACGTCCCCATGGTCACGTGAAAGTTCGACACGCCAGCGGCGCGCAGCAAGAGTAAGCCGAGGCTCTCATAGCCGACCTTTACTTGCCCAGCTTGCTGCGCCCGGCTGCGTGAGACGTCGAATATGGTGACGAAGTTGTCGATGCGCTCTTGCGGCAGCCGGTTGAACTCCACTGGCGCCGACACTGCCGACATGCGCCCCACCTCTCCCAGTTGGCCCCACCAGGCGGCCAAGCCGTGCATGGGGAAAGTCACCGGTGGCACTGGGTTGCCGGCGATGAGACCGCCATGGATCAGGACAGCCCGCGGCCATTCGTCCACGCACTCGCGCATGCCAGCGAGGCGTGACGAGACGTTGGCCGCCTGGCGAAACTCATTAAGGTCTGAAATCGAAAATGACAAGATAATCACATCGCGAACTCACCACTTCTGGGAGGGCGTTCGAATTTGCGGTTCCGGCCACAAGATGCGGAGGCGTCGCGCCTTGCAGTTGCCGCCGCCCGCGTCCACGCAGGCGATGCAGCTGGTGATGGTAATCATGCCCGCTCCCACGGCCCCCCATCCGGATTGAAGCGACCTCCACGTTTCGTAAGAGGTGCTGGAGGCCAGGGATCCAATAGCGGCGCTGCTCGGGAAGCGCCCTCCGAGCCTTGGTGGATATTTGCCCCAAACGTGTTCCTCCTCGTTTGCGAATTGGGAGCATGCTTCCGTCGTGCGGTTGTCGTGCTCACGGCACGTGGAACACCCAGCGACACAGTCGCAGTCGGAAGAACGCTCCGCGCACGTCGCGTTCCAAGTGCACGATTGTCGAGAGGGG